CTCAAAAAGCTTAATTGCAGTTAACCAGGACGTAATCTTGCTGTTTAAATTGTTGAAATATAATACATAGATGTAGTGTAAGCCCTGACTTTTTTTTTATAATGCAAATACCTGATTTAAATTTGATTGTGGAGGCACCCACTTCAAAGTTGGCCATCTCAAATAAACACATCGCCAGCGACAGGACTAAACAGCCAGGCCGCCTCCCCACAACACTGAGGCTCTTTCTTTTTAGAGATCTAGGTTGATTTCATTAACTAACTTTTTGGGCTACTTGTTTGTTTTCTCTTCCTACCTTTAAATTCCTGCTCGTATGTTTTAATTCACCAATAAAGAGTGAGCCAGTGAAACCCTAGGCCCCCAAGCTCGACCCCAATAAAAGCAGAACCCCCGGCCCATGCACTCTCTCTCTCTACCCGGGACCTCACTATGTGGCTATAGGTGTGCTGTATCATTTCCAGGTCTTGTAAGCAATAAATCTGTATCTTTTCAGTTCCCTGATGGTCATTGCTGAAGGGCATCTTGGAATAATAACCACAATGGCTAGCGTAGCCATAACACTGACTAATGATAGGCTGAGACCAGTAAAAAAAACAATAGACGAGTGCATGGTTTAAAAAATAATTATTATACATATATCCATATAATTATGATACAGATTAAGAAATAGGACATTGCTAGTATCTTGTAACCCCCTAAATACTATTCCCCAATCACATCTGCTTTATTCTTCCATGAGGTAACCTATCCTTTTTTTTATATAATAATCATTCCTTTAATTTTCTCCGTGGTTAATAGAATCACACTGTATTTTTTGTGGCATGTTACTTTTTCTCCATGCATTTGTGAAATTCACTCATATTGATATGTATAGCCTTGTTTGTTCATTTTTATTGTCTTACATTATTCTGTTGCATTGCTATATACAAAATATTTACCCATTTTATTATTGATAAATTTTGGATTATTTTGACTTTAGGACTCTAATGAATGATACTGCTATAAATGTATCTGCAAGAATGATATTTAATATACTTAATGCTATGTATATTAAGGTCATATGCCAATCACAACTTTTGGCAAATGGAAGCCTAACGAACCAAGAGGAATTTCTCTTGTACATTGTACCAGTGTGAACTATTAATAGCTAAACAACCACCCAGGATACTTAAAAATGTCCCCTGGTCTATGTGTTTAATAGTTTTTCTGATGCCTGTATCTAGAAGTGGAATTATTGAGTTGTAATGTATGGAAATCTTCAACAAGGTAATTTCAAGCTATTTATAAAATGGTTGAACAAATTTATACTTACATGGGAATTCCCTTTCTAACAGTTGATTTCCACAGACTAGATTTTTTGTTATCTATGTGCATGTTATGTATCACTGTAGTTTAAACTAGAATTATCCTGAAAATCAAAAAGGTTGAGCATCTGTTTATATGTTTATTAACCATTTGGATTTCTTCTCATATAAAGTACCCGTTCAAGAATTTTTCCTGTATTTCATTACATTCCTTTTTTTCCCCCTCCAATTTGTGTTATGTACTTTTTATACCAGTTCTTTTTTTTTGTTGGTTTGTTTTATGTAGGAAATGTCTTTTCTAATTTTTTTTTGGTTTTCTTATCAATTTCTTTATGGTGTCTGAGAACAGAAGTCTTTATTCTTATGTAGTTGAATTTACCAATTTTTACTTTTGGTTAGTATATCTTGTTCAAGAAATCTTTTCCTCCACCAAGTCTATGAAGTTGTTTTTATATATTATCCTCTAAATGTTTTATACATTTCTCTTTCACATTTAGGTCTTTAAATGATATGGAATTATCTTTGCAACTTGTAAGAGGCAGGGTCCAATTATCATTTTTTTCAAGTGGTTACCCAGTTGACTCATGCTACTTAAGTGAAAGTTCATGCATTTTTTTTTTTTTGCAGATCTACTTTATCTCCTCTGTTATATACTAAATGTCCATTCATGTGTGAGTCTGCTTTACTGATTATTTTGTTCCATTGTTCAATTTATCTATACTGTCAGTACTATACTCTTAATTTCTGTAAATTTATAGTAAGTATTGTTAGGAAATATTCTTATATATTGTTCTTCCTTTTTAAGTATGCTATTTTGGCCCTTTGTACTTTGACACAAATTTTATAATCAGTGTATTATATTCCACACACATTAAAAAGATAATTGTATTGAATTGAGGGATTTGTAATTTGGGAAGATTAACCATCACTACAATATTCAATTTTTCAATCAATTAAGATTATAGTTAGGTCTTATTTAATATCTTGATAAAATTTCAGTATTTTCCTTGTAGATTTTTTTGTATCTTCTGTGTTAATTTATTCCTAGCTATCTCATAATTTGGATGCTAGTAAAAATCATGTCTTGAAATGTTAATTTTTCTAACTGTTACTTGTTCAGATTCAGAAAAAAAATTTATCTCTGTGTAATTCCTCTGTTTAATAAACTTGACACATTCTCTTACATATCCTAAGTCAAATTGTTGGTTGTGATGGATTTTCTACACATAAAGACATATAATCTAAAAATAATTATAGTTCTTTTCTTCTCTTCTACTTCTTATTCCTTTATTTGTTTTTGATTTTGTTTTCTTTTGCCTTGACACAATGGCTAGAAACTCTGGCAAAGGATTGAAAAGAATGGTGATAATAGGCATACTTGCCTCATTTTGGTCTCAAAAGGAAACCTTTCAATCCTTTTACCAACAAATATTCTTGTTTTTCTTTTGTTAAATAAAACTCATCAGATTTAAAAGATACTCTTCCATTCCAAATGTGCTGTAAAGGTTTTGTTATGAATACATTTTGAATTTTATCAAATTTTTTCCATCTTATGATTTTTATACTTTAATATATTAATGTACTAGATTTCATTAATTTGTTTTACAACATTGATATAATGTGTAACTGGGATAATTCAACTTGGTCATGATTCTTATTACTTTTGTACATTGCTAGATTGGGTTTGTTAAGTTTTGGGTTTGGATTTTGGTATCTATGTTAATTTCTTATACTTGATGAGGGTTACTTGAATTTCTTTTCCTTTGATTGCCATAATTTTGTTAATTTTATTGATATTTTCAAAGAATCAAATTGTTGGAAGGTTACTCTTTTATTAAATAATCCATGAAAATATTTCTTAATTTTTACAAATAATAAAAAATATAATAAAAAACAAAGTGAAAAATTAAATTAAAAATAAAATTTTAATTTATTTGGAGTTGTCAGTTTAAACAGATAGAAAAAATCTCAACAGTTTTGCCATTATAATTTTATTATTACTTTTTAATAGAAAACTGTTTGGATACAATTTCTTACAAAAATTTTAAACTGCAGTTGTGTGGCATTTTCAGCTCTTAAATGCCTAGATAATAGTCAAAAAGTCAAAACTCACTAATCATTCCTCTAATTGCAACCTTTTAGATCTGGCATTCTCTTAAAAAAATACTTCACCTAAGAATGCTCTTAAAACTTACCTTGGGCATATTAGATACTTCGCTTTTTTTTTTTTTTTTTTTAGCTGAGCCATCCTGCTACCTATTGGCAGCTCAGCGGCTGCTCAGCTCGGACTGGACTCGAACCGCTGTTGCTCAGAGCTCAAACTCTTGAGCGAGCTCTTAACCAACTGAGCCACTCGGCCGGCCCTATTAGATACTTCTCTTGATTCTACACTTGATTTTAGTCAAAAGGCTGAGAAGCAATAACATATTAGATAAAAGTTGATCCATCAGTGTCAATGCATTCCTAAATTTAATCGTTTTATAGAGATAGAGAGAAAAATAAAAGTAAAAATTCAAGTTAACTAGCTCTCTTATACTGTTTTAAAATTAAAGAGATGATATATAACTTCCTTGCCATGAAAATAATATATGTATATCAAAGAATTTAAGAAACATGCAGTTCCACACAAAGATGTTCCCACTGGCCAAAAAGGGTAAATTTGAGCATTAATAAAAATAACACTTTCAATGAATCAAAACAGATCAAATTTGCTTCAATCCTTGAGTTCACAATGATACAAACAATTAAAACAAAAATTAATTGGTCATCTTTGGAGAATGATAGGGAACCATTTATTATTTCAAAACATGGTAAGTAGATAGAAGAAAATGGTCTATCTTTTTCTGCCTTTATCCTAACTTTCCTATAAAAACTATACCACTGGCTAATCAAATATTGGTTGAGGGGAAGTTGATCTTTTTAAATGTATTCCAAGAAGAAATGATGACTGAGTTAGAATATCACCATTTTGTAACATCTATTCAATAGTTAATTAATGGATCCATTCTAGATATTGAGCACCAGTGGTTGTAAACAGAACAAAATGAGAGACATCCAGACATCATGTACCTTCTAATGGAAGAATACAACCTGTGAAGAGACTGAATATGAATCAGGTCAAATCTATACCACAAAAGATCAAGTTACAGGCAATATATAGGCAGAGGAACATGACAACTACACTCTGAGTGTGCGATCAGCAAAATACAGATTTCGAGGAATCCCACAGGTAGAAATACAAGGTTTCTTCAAAAACTAAGATTCACTGAAAAGGAAGGGGTGGGAGGAAAACATATAGATTAGAAAAATTTTAGAAAGCATATTAAAATAAGACAACACTAGTATTTATTAGGTAGATGTCAGTGACGAACCAGGAAATAATTATAAATATCAGGATTGTGGTTACATTAATGAGTAGGGCGGCAGTTGTAACAGGAATGGATTAAGTGCAGGTCTTATGAGATAGCTGGATGAGTTCAATTTCTTCCACTGGGTGGTGGTTACAAGAGTGTTCTACAAATAATAATTTATTAACTATACATTTGTTTCATTGTTTTATGTACCTTCGTTGTGTTAAAATATATATTTTAAACTGGGTCAGTGAATGCATTTAGGATCTTATTTTCACAGAAAATGTTCCAAACGGTTCTATTTCTACATTAAATATCAAATTACCAAGCTGATAAACACAAGAAGTCAAAGTTGATATTTTCAATATTTATTTGTAAGGCCGAGGCAACAGCCTTTAAACAGCACAATTTGCATAAGTGATCAAGGTACATCTTGTATATAATCACAAAACCAAGACATATTTTTACATAGAGTAAAACTCAAGACAGATTTACAAGCATTTTAAAATACAATTCTCATGTATTTCAGTTCAATTTTTCAACCTTTAGCCCAAGAATTTGTATTTGTTCATTAGATTATCCAGAGAGATTTGGGTAGAACAGAAAAAAAGAATACATTAGCAAATCACCAACACGGCATGCAACATATAGTTAGAAACAAGACGTATCTCCAAGTACTTTATTTTTTATTTCGAAATTAATTTTATTAGGTTTTCATGTTTTTTAGACAAGAAATTTTTTTTCCTTTAACATCAGATGTGTTTTTGTTAGGATATCAGCACACACATTAATCGGTAGTAGGAGCACCTGGGCACATCACCAACAAATATATAGACACAATCAAACAATATTCACATGCTGAATGCCAAATGAAATTAATAATTCAACTTTGTCTATTTTACCAAATGTATCGTTATATACAGGGTAACAGGTTAAGAAAATGCTCTCAATCTACCTATCAGATAAGGAACCATTTGATTAAATGATTTTGATTTAATGGGTATCTTTATAAATAACAACAACATGGAATATACAGAAAACATCAATGTGTCATATTCAATGAGAAAATCTATTTCACTCATTCATTCTTGTATTACATCAAAGGCAAGTAATTATTAAAGAGACAGCTCATAATTATTCATTGAGCTTTCTTTCACTTTCATCTCAAGTTCAAAAAGAGGAAAAATCACTCTGTCACACTTAGAGTTATAAACATATATAGTTGTAGTCGGCTGCTTTTGGAATATTAGACATTGTAGCAATGAAAATAAGTTTTTAAAAATATCATTAGTTATGATTTAAATAATAAAGTAAAAAAATACTATAAACATCTTTATGATATCTTAATGAAATAAAACATTGATGAAATAATTTCTAATAAATTGGGCACAATATAGTATATTTGCTAAATTTTAATTTACTTCACATCACCACCAATCTAGTGTCACTACTGCTATCACCACTATTGTCACAACCGTTCGTATAATAAGAATCAATATCAGCTGGTTACCAGCTATAATAGTCCCACAATATGACTATTTCAATGAGTGTGATCCACAAAATTAATTCCACTGATATGCTGAAAATCTGCATTTATTAGTGTGATTAATTGCAATATGGACAATATTATTAAGGAGCAAAGACAATCACTGCCCCTTAGTCTTGGATACTGTTCTTTTAAACTGAAATGGTAAATAAAGAGTTCAGAGTCACCAACAATCTCCTTAATCTTAAGTAAAAACAGGGAAAACACAAACTTCTTATAATTAGCGTTATCTGTGTCTGTGATGACCATTCTGTAAATCTCTGGTTTTTTGTAAAAATTCACTATGTGCTTTTGCTTCTACAGCTAAAAGTTTTTTCAGGACCAAGTTTTAAACCAAGAAGCAACTTCAGTCTTTGATGACTAAATGAAACTGGAAAAAATTAATATGCTTTTCAAGGTATAAGTGATGTAACTGGACTAATCACATGTTACTTAGAAATTACAAACTTTGTCACTATTAGGATTAAAAAAAAGGTAACTCCAATAAAATAAAAATCAAATAAAAAGTGAAAAATCAGGTGCTGTGATATATACAAAAAAGTAAAAAAACACCAAGAGCCCTATTTGCCATTAAAAAAGCAACACTTTTGTTGTAAGAAGGGTAATCAACATCATTCAGAGGAAGTGCATTCGTATAAGGATCAGTGTTGCATAGAATAATTCCAGTACGACCTAGGAGTTTGGTTAGCTGCACACTTGGCACACTTTGGCAGGATCTTACGCTTTCTGAAGGGGGATGCTGGTGCACAAAAAGAAGCCCTGTTGTTCGCTCTCTTGACTGACCTGGCCTCACCACTCGTTCCTTGGAACAGAGGGGCACCGATAATGGAAAGACTGCTACTCTGTCAGGTCAAATAGCTACCGAGGGATGATCTGTGTTTGGGTGGCACCTCCACTTGTATTATTTTAAAAGAAACTGCAAACGGAATAAACTAAACTAACTGGTCATACTACGTCTCATGCACAACTCTGGATGGAAGTGGCTGCAGAAGAGGACCTACGGCGAGTCAGGGTTTCCTTTTAAGGGAAAATAGCAGAGCCTTTTAATGTCAGAAGATCTTCTAAACCCTTTTTTCCCCCCTGCTTATGAGTGATGATTCTAAGCTTCCTAAAGTGCTAACTTCTGCTGGAAATATCCATGGCAACCAGCAACAGATCTAGGTGTCTTTAAAAAGAAAATCGTAGCAATATCAAATCTTTGGTGGTCCCCTCCCTGCCTGTTCATTTAAAAGAAATGTCAATGGCAAACGACACTGCATTGTCAGGGGAGGAAGAACAGAAAACAGAGGGAAGAATAAGTGACTGTTAACTTTCTTAGATTGTGGAAGAGTTAATTTGCATTTTTTAATAATATAATAAAGACATATATAACCTGGGATTAATTAAAACATATTTGATTTGTAATGTTTTACATTTAATTAATTCCTCTCAAATTTAAAGAACGTTTTTTTTCTTTAAAAATGAGAAAACTCAAATCCAACTCATACAATATACTTGGAGATAATTTCTCTAAACTCAACACCTCACCCTTGAATAAAGAAGTGGCTTTTAAATTCAGATTGCAATTTAATTAATTTTGGTTAGAATATGGGAATAAGATTGGTATGATTCATTTCATTTATAATAACGCAATTTACAAATAATTTTCATTTAATTCTTCACCTTTTTCAGGTTGAATGAAAATTTGTATTTTAAAGTAAAAATTAGTTTTGGAGCTAATATACTGATTTTATTGATGCCAATGTGTGCCATTGGTTTGGAGGCTGCTTTTTGCATATAAAATTTGAAAAATAAAAAGCTGTACAATTATTCCTCACTTATGTGTATAAAACTATACCTGGAAATGTGCTTTCATTTTCTATTATAGATCACTTAGTTTGATCATCCAAACATCCCATCAGAAGGCTAGGCATATGTAATTATTTTTATCCTACAAATAAGAACACGGAGAAAATGAGTTTAAGTGACATGTGCAAGGTGACACAGTTAGTGGCAGAACCAAGACCCAAAGCCAGGCTTTTAAACCCAGCTGAATGTGTTTCCTACAACTCCATGAACTTCTCTTGTTAATGTTGTTGATTTATGGAGAAGAGGGTGCTTCATTTTAATGACTTAGACACTGGCCCTTTTACTATACTATTAAAAATAGCAAATTATATTTTAAACTCACTATAGTGTTGACTTTTCACATATTTTCTCAACATGGACGCACTTGATCACCATGATATTGTCACTAAAGTGGGAAAACAGAGTACTAGAGACAACTTGACTCAGGTGTCAGGGTTTTCATTATACAATCATTAATGTGTTAAGGAAAAAAAAACATCATGGAAGAGCAGGACATAACACCAATTTAATTAATCCATGTCACATATTAATAGAATTTGTTTACCAGAAGAAGAATTTCTCTCTGTAAATACATCACTCAAGAGAACAGAAACATGTGGGGTAATACATTCATTTGGAATTCCGCAAAGAACAAATTGTCATGCTTCCCAGAACATACCGATTTAATCTATGTCCTTTGGTGTGTAGATTGAAAAATATCTTGGTTTAAGAGTAAATTGTGGAGATTTTGAGGTTTTCAACCAAGTTTCCAATATTTTGTGGGGCAATATATTTTTGCTAGCCAGTCATGGCTTTATTTGTAGATGAATGTAATTCCATTTCTACTTAGTATGATCACTCCACATTATTTAAAACTGTATAAATGTGCTTTTACAACATGGATTCCAAAATTAGTGGTGTTTACCCTCGTAATATTTAGACACAGAGAAAACCTGTACAATATGTTCTAAAAGCCATAATTTCTTTCAGTTCCCTTTTCCCTGTGACCACAACTACCTTACTTCTATTCCTGGGCATGTCTGTAGGTGTGCAAATCTCAAAACAGTAAATTGTCTGAGACAATCACATGAAGAAAGAGTTTTAGACTTTGGAAAACAGATTTGTTACATCAGTTCTTTCCTTTCAACCTTTGAAAGGGTTACCTGCACAAAGGATTACCTTTGTCTGCATTAGAAACTATACTCATCTTTGAGCTTTTGTTTTTAGCTCTAGCTCAACTCTGCTCACAGATTTTTGCATTAATCAAAATTTTTCTCACTGCTTTTCTTGACAGCCACAGGAAATCCAAGGTTTCAGAGCTCCTTTTTTTTTAGATCTTACATATACAAACTTTTTCATTTGAGTTTCTCTCTGTGTTCCACACCAACACATTTACAAGGCTTTAAGGATGTTTTCGCTTGTTTTTCCTCTTCTCATGTTTACCACTGAAAATATAGTTTAGTACAATACTATCCAATTATAGTCTTGACTTGAGATTATTTAGAGCAGTTTCTATATAATGAGCAGACACATTTCTTCAATGGGTTTGAGTAGGACTGACCAAAAGTTTGTGCCAGTTGACTATTCTTTTCCTGAGATCCACTTTGTCAAGCCAGATACAGGCTTCACCAATCAAGGTCTTTTTCATAAACTTCCCTCCATTGGAGAAAAGTAAAATCTAGAAAAAAGAACCAAAATTTATATACATGTATATATTTTTCAACCTCTTTTAAGGACACTTGATCATCCAAAAAATAACACAAACAAGAAAAGGTGAGGGTGAGAGGAAGTAGCAGGCATGCTTGTTAGTGAACTAATAATAAGAATGTCCTCAAAAAAATTGCGTAATATTAACTAATTCACATCAACATTCCTGAAAGGAAAAGACACATCCTGAAGGATATGATAATTCTAGGTAAGATACATATTCCTAACTAGTTCTAGCCACTATGCTTACACTGGTGGAATGTTTTACAAAAGAACTTCGATAGGTAAAGTTTTACTAGTTTATGCAATGTTAACTAAAATACAAAACCATTTGAATGCCGAATAAATAAGTAAGTTCACAAGGCACACAGAACACAACATTAATATTATCTAACATTAATTTTATTTAGCATTTAATTTACTGGTGATTTTACTAGAGTATGCATGTACTTCCAAAGTGGTTTCTTGTCATACGTGAGACTTATAATAGTTGAAATTCTGTAGGATCTCAGACTCAAGAAATGTTTTTTTCTTTTAAAAATGAGTTGAAAGAAATATAGAGAGCATTAGGTGTAGGTAATCATTCATTAATCCTTGACAATTTTCTCCCTCTCTCTCTCTTCCCCTCCCTCCTTCCCTCTCTCATTTCAGAATCTTCTTCAGAGAATATTCTTTACTCCTAGCTAAAAATTTACTTTTATGTTTCTGACTTTGAAAATCTACATTTCCAGTTATGACTATTTTTTTGGAGTCTGGTTTGGGGATTTCAAATGGCATTGAGTATCTTCACTTGGATCCTGTCTTCTAATCAAATTTATCATCCTCCAACACACTCATGATCTTTGTCCCTCTTAGTCACTTCTCTAACTACTTACTCTCTGTGTTTTTGGGTTTTTTTTCTTTTTTTTAGCTGAGCCATCCTGCTACCTGTTGGCAGCTCAGCGCTGCTCAGCTCCGGCTGGCCTCGAACCACTGTTGCTCAGAGCTCAAACTCTTGAGCGAGCTCTTAACCAACTGAGCCACTCGGCCGGCCACACTACTTAACCTCTGTGAATGACACATTTGTTCACACAGACTGCAGTCTCCTTTAACTATTTTTATTCTCTTCCATACTAATGTAAGTTAATCCTCTCAATGCAGTTTTTGCTTTGTAATAGCGCTTTTGTTTTTTGTAACATATCGTATATTTGTCTCTAGTGCAAGCCTTTATTTTAAATGCCAGTACCATGGTCTTCTCTTCCCATATTTTTTTCAACTCTTTCCTTCCTTCTTTCTTCTCTTTCATTCCTTATTTCTAAATCTACTGATGACATACTATGTACAAGCATTGTATTAGGCTGTAGAACAAAGAGTAATGAAAATCAGGCATTGCCCTACAGAAGCTGATAGTATACAAGCAATGAAAGGGAACATATATAAATTATGGTACAAAACAGGTTGGGATTGGATGCCTAATGAGATAAGCGAAATGTTACATCAATAAAGTGTGATAAATTACATCTACGTTCATCTGGAAAGGGCTGAGTTTACATTAAAAGATGTGGAGTAATGTAACAGATGAAGAGAGATGGAGGAGAGTATTGAAGGGGAGAAAAAACATGAGCAAAAGATTGGAGGCTTAACTCGATTTGAAAAGATTCTGGTGTGAGTGAAGTATAGTATATGGAAAGGTACACGAGGAGATGAGATTAAATAAATCAATACAATTAGGACTCACCATCGAAAATTCTGAATGAATCAGGATAATGGTGAGTCATTGAGGGGCTTTAAGGTAACCTAGCCAGTGTTTTTAAAAGGTACCTCTGCCATCATTATGGTGAAAATAATTAAAAGGGTAAGACATTGATGGCATGTAGGCCAGGTATAGTGCTGAAATGATGTAATTAAACAGAGGAGGACCCAAAGAGGATTAGTGGCATTGAACATGGAAATAAATCTCTGTAAAATAAACCTACAGAATAGAGAAGACTTGGTAGCTAATTGGATGGGGTTGAGTGGGCTGTGGAATTCTAAGAGGCCCTTAGGAAAATACCACTAAGAACTAATTAACTTGTAAAACGTACCACAGCATATGATCAGTTTATAAATATTGAATAACTGAATGGAAAATAAATGCTGTATGAATAAAAAAAATAAATAGTAACTGTGTAATAAAGAATTACCTGAAGAGAATGTCCTGTGGGACTTAGGCTGAATCTAAAAGTTTCATTGAATGAAGGCTCTCGATCATGTCTACACACTCTTGTTTTTTTCTTGATCACCTTTTTTTGGGTAGAGATGTTCATCACGTATATTTTTACATATAAATCTGAAAATAAGAATTCAGCTTAAGTGTCCATTATTCATACAATGTCCTATTGAAAGAATTATAATTGTATACTGAGAGCTCTCCTAAAATTTATACAAAGTCAGCAGACCATGTTTAATTTGTTTCAGACAACATAAAGTGATTAGAAGATTCACCAATTTTCTTAGCAATTTAAATTTGTTTTCCTGTTCTATAATAACACATGACTAAATTTATGTGTTGAGAAAATCTAGCTAAAAACTTTTAAAATATCAACTTGTTCTACATAAGGGAAATTAATTCTTATTTCATATTTTCAGATGTATTTGGTGTACAGCCCAGATTTTAGTTTGCATTTTCCAGAATATTTAGAACATATTCCTAAAGAGTTCCTAGATATATTATATTGCTCATTATCATAAAATTATATACCTGGTAGGTGATCTGGAGATTTAAATTTGTAGGTGATATTTCTGCATTGCAGAATTTCAACTATTAGTTGTTCACCATCTGTCTTCATCTCCTTCTTCAGTGCAATCTTGATTTCTCCCATTACCTGAGTTTTAACTGGAAGAATATAATAAAACTGTTAAGGAATGTGTTATGACATTTATTAAATGTTTACTTCAATACTTCAGTCATACATTCATTAATTGTTTATCAAATGCTAAACACCTTATTGCATCCTGCAGGTACATAGATGAATAAAATATGGTCCAAGCCCTTAAGGAATGAAAGTTCTCATGGGAAGACTGATAAATTATATACTCACAACAATGTATGTAAAGTATAAAAAGATAAGCTAGTAAAAAGAGAGGTATGGATGAAATGCAAGTAGATAAATGTTACTCAACTGTAGATTTTTAGGCCAAAAGAGGTAATAGATTGGGCTATAGGGAGACAGACATACATAAAATAAATGGGATTCTAATATAATTTATAAGAATTAATGTCATATGAAATACAAGAAGTTGTTTGTCAATATTTGCTCATTACCAGGCTTGCTCAAGAATACTTCCTAATACAACTAAATGCCATTTTATGTTATTTCTATTTTCTTTGTAAAAGAAATAACCAACAAAAACATGTAGTAATAAAATTGCACAAGAAAAGCAACAATAAGTGATTTAAATGAATCTGATGTATTTCTTTCCAATGTTTTTCTAGGGTCTTTATATTATTGAAGAAGCTATTCATGCTAGGTGATATTCTTTATTGATTCACACTTTCCTCTATCAATTTATATATTGATCCACCCACAATTATTTTATTTGCTACCCTACTCTGTGATAAGTGCTCTGTTAGGAAGAATGGATAGGATGGTGAGAAAAAACACGCATGCTTATTAGTTTTATGGTTTTTCTGTGGATTGAAAAGAAATCCCCTAATGAAATATTTTCATCAATAAATGTATAATTAGAAAGAGTGAAAAGGTTATAAAGTATGAGAGCATGGTTTTAGAAGATGCTGAGAAAGTGCTGCTTGAGCTGAAACCAGAGGATGAGAAAGGAATAACTAGGTGAAATGGATGGGGAAGAACATTCTAAAGAGAAGGCACAGTGTGTTCATAGAAGGGAACATTGCATAGATGGGACTGAGGAACTAAGTAAATGTCCGTGTGATTATCACATATTGCTAATTGGTGCAATGTTAAGAATTTGTGTTTTACCTTTAGAAAAAATAGGAATTTATTGAAGGTCTTTAAAAACGAAAGTAATCATTTCTTCTAAAACATTTTGGATCCAGGACTTCTTTATGCTCTTAAAAAAATGGAGGGTCCTCAAAGAGCTTTTGTTTGTGTGGATTATATTATAGTTATCGATATTACAAATTTAAAATTTCTAATTAAAATATAAAATGAAAATTATATACCTATAAATATTTTAAGAAAAATATCCATATTTTCCAAAATAAAAAATGTGAAGAGTGCTGTTTTATATTTTTTCAAATTTCATTTATGTTTTTCTTAGTAGAGGACAGCTGGATTCTCATACCTATTTCTATATTAAATCTATTAAATATGTTGTTTTAGTTGAAATATATGAAGAAAGTCCAGTCTCACACACACACA